TTGCCATGATTGAAAAGCAACCCCCCCCCCCCGGTCTCATTTTAAAAAAAAAACTCAATCAAATTAAATAACCAAATCAAGAAAATAGAAATTATTTACGCAATAATAATATCAAGAAAACTTTATTCGGAATAAACAAATAAATGGAAATTATCATCGAAAAGTGAAGTTAACAAATATTTATGTTAACGGTATATGCACACCAGTAGACGCACTGCACAAATTGTTAACGGCCTACTCACCAGTAGACGCACTGCACAAATTGTTAACGGCCTACTCACCAGTAGACACACTGTACATACTGTTAACGGCCTACTCACCAGTAGACACACACTGTACATATTGTTAACTGCCTACTCACCAGTAGACACACTGTACATATTGTTAACGGCCAACTCACCAGTAGACACACTTTACACGTGTACGGTAGTGAATGAATTAAAGCGAAGTTCAAGAGAGACAAACTCTAACAATATTACAAGATGGATCATGTTTAGTCGTATCATTTTGTTTCCCTTTTTTCGGTGATGGCAGTCTATTTGAAGTACACTAATTGTACTCGAATAGAAGACTGTACAACTCACCATACATGGGCAGGTGAGCTTGATTTTATTTCTTCATCCTTTCCTTTATTTAAAAAAAAAGAAAGATTAATATTAAATGGTACATTTGGGGGCAGTGACCTGACAGCATTATAGCCCACTGATCAAAACAAGGTTGAGAACCTTATCATACTTTCATTGGCATAATTTTACCCTGAATCTCCATCGACCCTCACTCATCTTGAAAATCTGTTACCGTATAGCAGCGGTTCTCAACATGTGGGTCGCGACCCCTTTGGGGGTCGCACGACCCTTTTAAAGGGGTTGTCTAAGACCATCTGAAAACACACAAACTCTACCGTTATAAAGTATCAACGAAAAAAAATTGTGTGGTTTGGGTTCGCCACAACATGAAGATCTGTATTAAAGGGTCGCGGCATTAGAAAGGTTGAGAACCACTGCCGTATAGAAATAGTTTAAACTTTTGATAGATTAAGAATTTGTTTAAAGAAAAAACAACAAAATCTATTTATTATAATTTCAACTTCACCAAAAAGGCCACATTCCACGTTAACACTAACAAAGTTATTGACCCTAAGAGTTTCAGATCATTCACTTCTCAAACGTCTTGGGGCAAGGACAGAAAGTCTTGACCAAGTTACTCCTGAAAGTGGCGTTCAGGTTGTAGTAGACCACGAGGTTCGCCGAGGCGTTGGTCGTCTGCGTGAAGAAGAGCAGACGCAGCGCCACGGCGTACGTGTTCCTGTAGGCCCCGAGAAAACTGAACTCTGTGTTGAACCTTCTGCCGTAGACGACGGTCAGACGGTAGGCGTTGCAGACGATGGAGATGATCGCGAGACACAAGACTGTCTTGACGACGGACTGCGTCTTGGTGGATCTATCTTTGAGTCTGGTTTTATTAACCGAGCCACCTCGGCCCAGCGTTGTTTTACGTTTCCTGTCAGCGGCAGTGACCTGGCCGACTTCCGACGTGTCCCTTTCTCTGAATTTCATGGATCGGTTGATCCCGAGAACCATCAACCACGAGCTAACCACCACAGTGATCTGATAGATGGTCGCCATTGCGATGTGGTTGAAGGAATTCAAATACAGGTCGACTTCCGGTCTGTTGTCGGACATCCACAACGTCAGCCTGGTCAGATTACGAAACGGGACCTCCGACCAGACCAGCCCACTGGTCAGGTAGTGAGGGACGTACACCACAATGGTGAAGGCGTACAGACCCAGCACCACGAGGACCGCGCGGTGAAAAGTGAACATCCCTTTGAACCTGAGCGGCAGCGTCACGCACATGCACCTCTCGAGAGCGACGAAAGCGATGACCGCTTGCGAGATGTCGTAGAACATGGCGCACACGTGGTTGACGACCACGTCCAGGGCAACCGTGTCCACGGACGCCAGGTCGTTCACGTAGACGAGGACGTAGGCCCCGTTGAAGACGAGGCCGGCGACTATGCTGAGGAAGTCAGAGACGGTGAGGGCGAGTAGGCAAAAAGAGACGCAGTCGCCGATGCCCTGCCTGATGAACACGGCGACGTTGATCAGGTTCGCGCAGCAGCCGAGCGCACCGAACGGCACGGCAGCGAAGAGTAGGATAAACGACTCGATTCGATGCCTGGTGGAGTCGCTGATGAGGTCCGTCTTCGAGTCGTAGACGAACGAAGCTGAAGAATTGAACGCCATAATGGTTGTTACCTGGCAGTGATTTAAATGACGGTAGCTTTTTAAAAAAAGGTATTTATCAACGCTCCAATTGTTCCCTAACGGTGGGTGCCACCCTATTAAAGAGAAAACGTTATTGTATTACGCTCAACAAAGGCGTGTTCGCAAGCAGAAGGTAGGCATTCAGAGATATGCATAGCGGTATATGCAACCCAACGCCAGTAAAAATTTAATGAGTAATTATCAGATAATTTCGTTTAATTGTTGAAAGGGGGGATTATTTGTTAAATATTTGTCTTCTTGATTGTACAATTATCTCCCCGCTAATGAACTTTGTGAGAGACGCCGGCTCAGTTAATTTGAACTAATTGCTCGGCATCGCATTACAGGCCATCGCAAAGAAAGATGGATAAACTATTTCAGAGTTATATGTATAAGGAGGATAGCGCCGTTTCGCATTAGATCTAAGGCGGGCTCACATAATTGCATTAAACAAACAAAGGGAGTTCAACGGGCGTCGTCATCCGGAGTATCGCAGAGTTACATTTCGTGTTGACAATACAACACAACTCGATTATCGCAATTATCGGGATTTTTTGGGGTGCTTTAAGAAAGAAAAAAAAAAGACATCAAGATTGGTTGTAGATATAGATCACGCCCTGTAAACAAATGAGACGTAGCTTAACAGTCCAGGAGTACCTCTACGGCTCCCAACATTTCCACTCACCCTCCGTTTATATCTCTCAAACATGTTTGGTAGGCCTATTGTAAGGTGGGTTGTGTAAAATACTCTTACCATCATCTGTATCAGTTTGGTCTTAAATAAACTAGGGATGAAATTAGGACAAAGAGTGAAAATTGCAGCGGGAAACTTCCGACACACATATAGGTTTAGAATCCCCTGGACAATCCAACTACACCTAGAGCCGAGTCAACATCTGTAGTCAACATCTGTAGGACGTTTAACACGCTGGTCACTCTCGATAAATATTTATTGTCACCGATTTTTAGTCGTCACGCATTCCTGTGCATGAGCTTCCGGGGCTTTCGCCCTCACCACCCACCATCGCTACGCCACTGGTACACAGAGGCGTAGCGAGGGTGTTTGGCGCCCGGGAACAAGATCCATTTTAAAGCGCCCCCTTTTCTTGTTTTCAACTCTCAAACCCATTATTTTTACCAATAATATAATATCAAAGCACATTTTGGCGCCCCTAACTAGCTTGCGCCCGGGGACATCTGTCCCCCCTGCCCCCCTCCTCGCTACGCCTCTGCTGGTACATCAACCTTTAAATTATTTTACTATAAACATTTATTTTTTTCCTCTCCTTCAGACATTATAATTAATAATGTCTTTGTTTTATTGTTAAATTATTCCTTTTTGTATAATTATATGTTTTCTATCTACTCCTGACCACCGCGCACCCCAGCTCACCCACTCCCACCCAATTAACTAATACAGGAGGCATGTAGCCGTCATAAGAAGACGCATCTCTGTACTCCATATTTCCCATAACATTGTTCCCCCTTCACCCCTCCTCCCCTCCCCTTAGGCATGATCGTCTTCTCCCCATCTCCTTTATTCTATTGCTCATTAATCAACACCGTCAGCTCCCCCCCCCGGCCCCCGAACTCGCCATGGCCGTTTGTACATCACACTGCACTTCTCCGAGCACCCCCAACACTGCCCCCTGTGGAACTCCACCGTGTCGCGCACCTCCCCTTCACCCCTCCTCCCCTCCCCTTAGGCATGATCGTCTTCTCCCCATCTCCTTTATTCTATTGCTCATTAATCAACACCGTCAGCTCCCCCCCCCCGGCCCCCTAACTCGCCATGGCCGTTTGTACATCACACTGCACTTCTCCGAGCACCCCCAACACTGCCCCCTGTGGAACTCCACCGTGTCGCGCACCCAACAACGAGCCTATTATTATCAGGAAATATTTTTACTCCTCACAAGACCGAATCATCTTGGGGAGATTTGGGGGGGGGGTGGATGGGGTGGATTGGAATTCGAGAGAGCGTGGGAGGGAGGGGGGTCTCTTTTTATTGTTGCGTGCGGCCCAGTTTGGCAAAGGTTAAAACGAAACCCCTGTCTCAGACAATGGTTGGTGCTGAATGACGTTACGGCAACAATCGTCACAGGATTCGAATTTGGATCTGTCGGACTGTTTTCTCTGATGTCGATACTTGTATCGTGTCTAAAACGTCTCCTATATTTGTCAATACTTTTTCTGCACACAGAATATCAAAATATTTCTCGCTCGTCTTCGATATCTTTGGCTTCTTTGTTTAAAAAGGGGAAACAATGGTTTTCTTCTGTAATGACGTCATTATTTTTTGTTTTCAAACACTGTGATTAATTTAGAGTCTTTTAAAAGTTATATCTCGAATTCGCATTTTAATCGCGCACCCTTCTAACTCTTAAATGTTTCTCTCGACATCTTTCTCACCCCCTTTCTCCACAATCCGTCTCCTCTCTCTCTCTCTCTCTCCCTCTCTAGCTCTCTCTCTCTAGTTCTCTTTCTCTAGCTCTCTCTCTCTCTCACCCGCTCTATGTCACATACTCTTTTTGTTAGATCTTTACAGTGTCTTTCTTCTCACACTCCCCTGCTCTTCGATCTGTATTTGATGGACTTGTCTAGATCTGTCATTCATATGTCTATATTTGTTGGACCTGTTGTCTAGCTCTGTCAGACATACGTCTATATTGATGGATCTGTTGTCGGGATCTGTCATACATATGTCTATTTTTGATGGAGTATGCTGCCTCGATCAGTCAGACCTCCATCTATGCTTGATGGATTGTGTTGTCTCGATCTATCAGACCTCCATCTATACGTGATGGATTGTGTTGTCTCGATCTATCAGACCTCCATCTATACTTGATGTATTGTTGTTTTGAGCTGTCAGACCTCCATCTATACTTGATGGATGAGTTGTTTTGATCTGTCAGACCTCCATCTATACTTGATGGATGTGTTGTCTTGATCTGTCAGACCTCCACCACTAACTGTGATATCAAGGTTTTCTTCATTCAAGAAACTTTTGTAACAGAAGATAATATTAATTTCTACTTGACAATTATTATTATTTTTTTAAAATAATATTTCCAAAGTACAAAAGTGTCACGTTACTGATTCCCAAAGTGCTACATTCCATATTCCAAATTCCAGTGCCAAAGAAAATAATTTTTCATTTTCCTCTATGATTTTCTTCCTATTATTATGGCCAATAATTTTTTGTTTGTTTGAAATCCTGTTTGTACTAGTCCCAACTATTTCTTCCTAAATCCTCCTGTCTCTTAGACTTAGTTTTGTTCCCAGTTTCCGGGGAAGAGATAAGAATTTTAATCCTCGAGTCAGCCTGGGCGCTGAGGAGAAGCCATTTTGCGTGTGTGTGTGTTTGTGTGTGTGTGTGTATGTGTGCTAATCTCGTGGTCTAGTTTCCTATAGAACTTCCTGTAATGAGGTAGATGGGAAGGAGGAGCAGATAACAACAACTATTTTTTCTTACTCCAACTGCTGCTGTTTCTGGTGTGTTGGAAACATTTCAAGAAAATGCCCAGCATAAAAAAAAAAACACCAAAAAAAAAGCACCAACAACAAGCACCAAAGATATGTAACATAAATGTTTTTATGTCTAACTTAAATAAAAGAAATAATGAATTTATAGAACAAGGGATACACTATCGTGTTGTTGTTGTTTTTTGTGTGTGTACGAAGAGGTTGCATCACCAATACCCCAGAGGAAAAAGGCTCAAAGGCAGACCTAGGCTTAGGTGGATCGATGATGTAGAAAAAGATCTACAGCAGCTGAAAGCCCAAGCATGGAAAAGAAAGGCATCAGTCAGGTCTGAGTGGAAGGAAGTGGTGAAGCAGGCCAAAGCCCTACACGGGCTGTAGCGCCACAGGGTTTGATGTTTGTTGGGTTTTTTTTTCCTTCTTTTTTGGGGTTTGAGGGGGGGGGGGGGGGTTAAGGTTCGTGTTTATAAATAACTTAATTTTCAATTATACATAGAAATGAAGAAATGAATAGTCGTATGAAAGTGTATTCATTACCATTTGTATATCTATGAATCTGCTATTGTATCTATGAATTTATTTGTATATGTATCAATGCCATACACCAACTGTTTGTTCCTTTCAAAAGAGATTTTGAGTTGTGTCGGATTATTTATTTTTTTATTTTTTTTGCGTCTTCAATAAAAAACCTCTCGCAAAAATTTTTGTAGACGTGTTTTTGAAGTCCTCTAGAGTCATGCCACCGTCATTTATCTTCAGTTGTGAGGTAATGAGAAAAATTATGCACGGAGCAAGCGATCCGACAATTCGGGAGGTAAACGTGATTTTAAATAGTTTTTTTTTTTTTTTTTAAAGAACCCTAGTCAACTCAGCATTTGGCTCGGAGGGGATATGGGGAGCCTGCTCACCGCGCGAGACGACGGCGGGACGTAACGAAATATGGCTTTTATTATCAAGGCATAAGACATTAACTACTGCCTTGTCTGCCGATTGTCTGAGGCAGCATGGCGGCCGCTTCCTTTAAGGAACACGGTCATGCCAGGTTCGGCAACTCACAGACAGGTTTTTTTTTAAAAGCTCCGTTCAAAAGAGTTAGTCAGCTTGAGGGTCGGTGGAATATGGTAATTGACTCATTGGATTTTTTTTTTTTAGGGTTTTGAGGCTTCGAGGCTTCTCAAATGTGTGGGTGCGACTTTCAAGGTGTTCACCGATGATGAGAAAGATGTCAATTGTTCAATACATGATTAAGTTCGTATTCAACTTTTTAGTGTTTTCAGGTCGGTCAGGCAAAGACCGAGCTCTGTGAGGTCGATGCCCAACACCACAAGCCTCTCGGTGGTGTTACATGGGATCTTTCCCATTCGTTGCGTGACCGACTAGCAGGGGGGGAGTTTTCATTCTGAAGCTAAAAGATCCCAGGAAAAACGCATGACTTCCAACGCAACGGA